CGGGATTGGAGAGGGCGGAGCAGGCCCCCCTGGCGCTCATTGGGCGGCCGCGGCGTGGCCCCGCCCCCGGGGCGCGCGACCATTGGTGGGGGCGGGGCGGCGCGTGCGCAATGTGGGACGGGGCGGGGGAAGATGGCGGAGCTGGGGAAGAAGTACTGCGTGTACTGCCTGGCCGAGGTGAGCTCTCTGCGCTTCCGCTGCACCGAGTGCGCCGATATCGAGCTGTGCCCGGACTGCTTCTCGGCCGGCGCCGAGATCGGGCCGCACCGCCGATGGCACGGCTACCAGCTGGTGGACGGCGGCCGCTTCACGCTGTGGGGCGCCGAGGCCGAGGGCGGCTGGAGCAGCCGGGAGGAGCAGCTGCTGCTCGACGCCATCGAGCAGTTCGGCTTCGGCAACTGGGTAAGGACGCGGCCGGGAGCCGCTCCCGCAGCGTCGCCCGGGAGGGGAGCGGGAGCGGCCGCCCAGCCTAAGACGGCCTCTTCCTCGGGGAGTCAGGGGGGTATCGCTCCCGGTCTCGGGAGGGCGCTCCCTTTCTCTGGGGGGGATGTCGCCCTCCACGGGAGCGGTCGGTGGTTCCCCTGGTTTACTTGCGCCCACTGTCACCAGTCTGCACACGTGTAGGGCAGGATCATCAGGTGCAGCTCCCCTGCTCTGGGCAGCTGGGCTCACGTAACTCCAGCCAGGCGCGCGCCCAGTCTTCTTTTGTAGGTCTCTAAGGCAGGTGCCTGTGCTGCATGTCAGGTCTGTGGCGTGCCTGGGCTGGTGGCCGCGTTACGCGGAGCTTAAGGCAGGAGTCGGCCGCCCCGGTGTGTGGCCAGTGCGGCACGTGAACACGTTTTGCTTGGCCCTTGGGGCTGGCTGTAGGGGAGCTGCAAGGGGCCTGATCCTTCTTGTGGCAGCCCCAGCCCTTTCCCCACTGTCCAGCCCGACGTGCACGTGCACCACCTGGTTTGGGGCTCCACAGGCAGCTGCTTTCAGTCTCTCAGCTGCCTGCCACAGCTGGGCCGGGTTCTGGGCCACCCACCGTGGAGCCAAGGCTGCTCGTGGCAGGCGGTGGGGGGGCTGCAAGCAGCTGCACTGGGGTCTGCAGAGCTCCCGCCCAGCTCAGTGCCAGCAGCAGTGCATGTGCATCTCAGGACAGACAGTGGAGGAGGGACTGGGATTGCCCTGCTGTAAGAAGGATCGGACCCCTTGCGGCTCTCCTGCCGTCTGCTCCTGGCACACCAACATCTTACAAGTCCAGAAAGGGTTTGTGGCATGCTGCCCAAAAATGTTGCTGACCCGAGGCTTAGATTACAGATTGTATGGGATACTTTGGATAGGGATGGTTGTGCCTCAGGCAGAGGGTTACACTAGATGAGCTCTGGGGAGGTCCCTTCCACCCCTACTCCATGATTGTGATTGATTCTACCCAAACCATCTACCAATCTATTGTTTAACCTCTTGGCAAAGTCCCTGGTCCTTGTCACCATGGTGTTGCAGACCCTGCTGCCCCACGCTGCTGCCTCCTTCCTGCCCTACCGCACCCCTGCATCTTGCACCATAAGGGCTTACAGAAAGCTTGGCCATTTCCAGCACCAGAGCCTTTGTTGTCAGGTACTGACTTTGCCCCAGCTTCCAAGTCGGATGCTTCTTTCTGATGCCTCCGGCCTGCCCGTGCTGTCCATGCTGCTGCTTTGTTTGCATCTGTTCTCTTGACAGCCGCCAGGCTCATGTCTCTGTGCAGTTCATGTAGTGAGCTGCTTTCTGGCTGTGGTGGGCAGCAGATGTTGGTGTGATGCCGAAGTGAAATGCTGTGTGTCCACCTTGGCTCAGGAGATTGAGCTTTGGCAGAGCCTAAGATCTTTATGCTGAGGTAGAGGTGGGGGAGTGCTAGGTTTCTAAAATTCTAGGTTTCTAGCTCATTCAGGTGAGGGGTAATCAGGCATGTTATCCTGAAGTTGGGCAGAAGGCAGGGTAGTTGTGCCTAGGCTAACCAAATCAGGGTTGCGTGTGATCTAAAGACAGAGGAGAAGAAGGGAGAGCGGGTAGTGCTGAGAGAGGTAAAGGAGATGGTGGGAACAGCAAAGCCATAGGATTTAAAGATAATCCAGGTAATGGGATGAGAATCTGTAGTCCCTGCTTGACCGTATTTAACATAATACAACCTGTGGATGATTTTTTGTTCTGCAGTTTTATGTTTGAGTCAGTTCTTAAAATGCCAGTGTTTAAGAAGTTATTTGGAGCTCAGCAAACAAGGTTCAAGTGTTTTGCTACAGGGTTTTGTGTATTTCTGAACGTGATGTCAGATGAAGGAAAACCAAGTGAATGGGATGTCCTGTTGTCTTTCTGAGTTTTCAAAAAACAAAGTAGCAGCTCCTGTGCAGGAAATGTTAACTCAAGATGTTGGCACTTGCAAAGTTGATGTCAGCTGTTTCATTGTTGATCAGGGTTGTGGGGGAGGGGAGCGAGGGACATCTCTACAAGACTGCAGTGCCAGAGCAACATCCTTCTATATAGTCTGATCTAGCTACATGCCATGCAGTGTTAGCTGATTTAAGATACAAGCACAGCACTGTGGCATTGAAAGCTCTTCCGTTTAATTTAGATACCTACTAATGGAAGTTTTATCATTGTTTGTTTGTTCTTGGAAGGCTTTTGTCAGCCATTTGTTGCTTAAAGAAGACACAAAACTGTTACAACAATATCCTGTTTCTAAAATCTGATCAGGGTTCAAGTCTCTGACAGTCTGGGTGTGTGTTGTCTAGCCTTGTCTTCTAATGTAAAGAAGAGGAGAAAACTGAACTAGGTAAAATAGAAACGATGTGAGGACTTAATGTATTCATGTTATACAAGTGCAAGGGGAGTTGTAGTGAGGGATGATTTTAAGTTTTTCAAGGAGCTTTGACAACAGGATCTGACTTTTTTAGACATTTGAGTTTAAAAATGTATCCTCTCCCAAAAAACCCGAGGGGTGCTGCACATCTAATGTCCTCCATTCTTTCTTCCTTATTTTCTTTGTGTTGCTACCACATTCTGAGTTTTTCTCCAGTGCGTTATTCTTGTCAGGTCATTTCTTGCCCTCTCAACATCCTGTTACCCTCTAATAACAAATTCTTTTCTTGTTTAGGTGCAGTATAGAAAAATGTCTCTCTTTCATTAAATTGTTACTACATAACAGAGCCAGAACCCCTTAAATACTTACTTTTGAGTGTAGTTATTTACTTAAATAAAAATATTCTTGTGAAAGAATTTTAAGTACTGATTTCCCCTCTCCCTTCACCTGTGTCTTTTTATAAAAATGTATTTATAACCAATTGAGCAAAACCAAAATTACGTTTGGGGTTATTGGTTCTGAGTCTGCAGGGAGTACTACGTTTGGAGTAAAATGCCTGTTTATATTTTAATTCTCGACTTTGATCTCCAAATGTTGACACAACAGTTCTTTGAATGATAAGTGAATTATCTGTCTGCATATGCTTATGAAAATTTTTGCTTACTTGTGTAGGAGGAAACTTAAAAAAATTATAAGAGTTTGGGTAGTTTTGCCATCTAAAGCTGGATGTTTGTGTGGATAATGCAGGTCTCGTCCGTGACACTGAGCATAACTCAGAAATGATCCAGACCATCAGTAATCTCTGACTTTATTCTTTTTCTAGGAGGATATGGCTGCTCATGTTGGAGCATCCCGAACTCCCCAGGAAGTGATGGAACACTATGTAAGCATGTATATCCATGGTAACCTTGGAAAAGCCTGCATCCCTGACACCATCCCCAACAGAGTGACTGATCACACTTGCCCCAGCGGTGGCCCACTTTCTCCTAGCTTGACCACCCCTCTCCCACCTTTGGACATATCAGTGGCAGAGCAGCAGCAGCTGGGGTACATGCCACTTCGGGATGACTATGAGATTGAGTACGACCAAGATGCTGAGACTCTGATCAGTGGCCTTTCGGTGAACTATGATGATGATGATGTGGAAATAGAATTAAAAAGAGCTCATGTGGATATGTATGTAAGAAAGCTTAAGGAGAGACAACGGCGAAAAAATATTGCACGAGATTATAACTTGGTTCCTGCCTTTCTGGGGAAGGATAAAAAGGACAAGGAAAAGGCTCCAAAACGCAAGATCACAAAAGAAGAAAAGGAGTTGAGGCTAAAACTGAGGCCCCTGTATCAGTTCATGTCCTGTAAGGAGTTTGAAGACTTCTTTGAGAACATGCACAAGGAGAGGATACTTCGAGCAAAGATTCGCGAGCTGCAGCGCTACCGTCGAAATGGGATCACCAAGATGGAGGAGTCAGCAGAGTATGAGGCAGCTAGACACAAACGAGAGAAAAGGAAGGAGAATAAAAACATTGCCAGTTCCAAGAGAGGAAAGGAAGACGGCAAAGATGGTGAATTTGCTGCAATTGAAAACCTGCCGGACTTTGAACTCTTGTCGGACAGAGAGAAGGTGCTCTGCAGCTCTTTGAATCTGAGTCCAGCACGTTATGTGACTGTGAAAACTATAATAATTAAAGACCATCTTCAAAAAAGACAAGGAATTCCTTCAAAAAGTCGCCTTCCCAGTAACCTAGATAAGGTACTAAAGAAAAGGATTTTAAACTTTCTAACAGAAAGTGGTTGGATATCCAGGGACGCCTCATAAAACCTGTCTGAACTGAACGCCCCCGTCCCCATGAACAAAAGGCTCACTGCGGGCTACAGGACTCCATTACTTTCTTTCGCTTTCCCCAGGATTTGATTTCTCCTGTAAAACCTGAGTATTCACAGCTCTCGGTCTAGAGGGACTCTTTGCAATGGATCATGGAAAATACTAACCTGTAACTCCTTGTGTGATCTTAAAGTCAGTACTTTAAGAAGAAAGATTTGCCCTTTAAATATGGACAGTAGATGAGTACATCAGATCTAACTGGTTTTGGTACACTGTTGAAATGGATCTTTTCTCATGGGTTTAGACCAAGCCTGGTATAGCTGTTTACTCCTTATTGTTGGCCAAAAGGATTGCTGGTGCAGCACCCACTCTTCTTGGGGCGGGAGGGGGGACATCCCACCTAGTGGGAGTCTGTCTTCTTGTGTTGCACTCCCCTCAGAGTGCTGGCAGCAAAGTGACACTTGCAAAAATCTTCTGCTCTGAAGCACAGAACATTTAAAGCTTGGAGTTTTGTGAACGTTGCTTTGCTTCCAGCACCTTCTTCCTCATTAACCAGGGCCTGTATTGTAGCAAAGTGGTGTCAGGATGTGAAGAAAAAGCAGGGAAGTTAGATGACCCAAGAACGGGGATTGGGTAAGTACAAATGTGGTAGATAAGTTGCCTCTGGTCACTTGTTTTGTTGATGAACAGCCTTCATGTTCCTCAGCAGACTAATTCCAGGGTTTCTCTTGGCATTGACTGTTGGCCACTGCAGTTGCAAAGTTGCAGGGTTACAAAGCAGCTACGCTATCCACTGTTCTGCAAATGGAAACCTCGGGATTTGAACTACTTGAGTGGATATGGCTGTCCAGAAAGGCGGTATTAGCAAGGAGAGTGGAGTGCACTGCTTCAGGACCTTGTCAACACCTGATCTCAATGAAGCTACTGTGAGCCTTGGGCAGGAGTTAAATAGGTGCTTTGCTGTCCAGGCAACTCCATGAGTGGAAAGAGTCCACTTTTACCTTTCTACCCTGCCTCCTCTTTGGATCCTAACTGGTCCAGAGAGATATTTTCCAAACTGAATCTTTGTCATATAATTCTGTTGCAGACCATTGTGATCATAAACTGTGGAATTATTTCATAGTGTGTGGCTAAAGCTGTCTCAAAACATGAAACTGTGACTGAGCTATTAGAGGCTTTACATTGCAATTGCTTTCGAACAGACTTAGCTTAAAATTCTCTGAAGATCTTCACTGTAGTTGATAGCAGAATTCTGTATCTGAGCCGCTTTAATGCAATGTCACTGAATGTGACTTTACCAGCTTAATAGCCTTGGGTTCTGTTGATGGCTTTTTTTTTTTTAAAGGGCTTCAAATTGAGCGAGGTGTTTGTAAGTAGCCCAGTTTTTTTCTCCCTAACTAGTAGATTACGTGTACTCAATCAACAAAAGGTTATTCCCATAGGTCAAGTTCCAAGAGAGATCAGCAGCAGGATTTGTACTCTTAAACTTGTATGTTGGAGTTTGCTTGACTACACCAGCAACTTGATGACAGTTGGATTTCCCTGAACTTTGCAGGGATATCATGTGCTGGTCATCTCTTTTACAGCTCCTTGTGGCTTTATTTCCTGGGTGGCCCTGAACAGTCGGCTGACTTGATGCCTTTGGAAGGCAGGTGGTCTGAGAAGTGGCATTTCATTGCACACACAGGTTTTCTAATCAGTCAAAATATCTTGTGGCATTTCATGCAGAGGTGTGTGAAGTAACCATCAGACTTCATAATACAGCACAGGTGTAATTCTGGGCATTGTTAGTTGTCAGGGTACAGTATTACCAATACAGCATTACCTGGGTTTGAATATGGAAAGGGTACAAGTATAAAGTCAGCATTTCAAGAAAAATAATGGTGCCTTTGTCTTCTCAGCTTGTGATAGGACATTCTTGCAGAACAGCAAGGGCCACATCCTCAGCTGTGGAAGGTTGTGTTTGGCTTAACTGTAAAATGGTCTGTAAAATATTTAGAACAAAATCTTCTCTCTCACTCTTCCAGCAGCAGTTTGATTGACTGCAGCTTGCTTAGCGGCTTTAAGAAAAGCCTTCATCCCCTGGGCAAAGAATACGTGAGAAGATCAGTACCAGAAACCATACCAAGTTCCTATGTCCTATTCCTAGGGAAAAGGGAGGACATTTCAAGCACTCTCTATCCTGAAACACAGCACTGGAGTTACATGGTTAGTTCTTTCCCCCAGCCTGTTACCTGGGTGCCAAACCACCAATCTTGCATTAAGTATTCAGAACCCTCAGTGTAAGTCCTTGAGTACTTCATGTAAGTTTTTAAATCTATATAATTTTTATACTTCCAAGGTGCTCTGGCACTAGTAGTGGGTTTAACTGAAGCAATACTCTAAAGCCCATCTGATGGATAACTTAAAGGAATCAGACTTCTAGGCACTGCTGCGAGTCATTTAAACATTGTATAAATCGACTCTTCTGCATTAACACTTTGTAGTTTCTTAATTCCTCAGCCCTTCCAAAAGACGTTTTCTTTGGTGCTAGACATAACTTATTGAACATCAGAATGAATGTAAAATAAAGTATTTTTAATGTATGAAATGATGGATATCAATATTTATTTTAACCTTGCAAGCAAATTTAAGGAGCAAGAGCATTTGCTTCAGTGAATCATCTAAAAAGGGCTTCCTTAGAAGCAGTGTCTCAGTGTCAGCTCTCCTTTGACTTGCACTAAGAGGAAATACAGTTCTGTGTGGTCTCATGGAACTGGTCAGTTATTCCAAGTGTTCTTTGTATGACTGAGCTCCTCTCACTTTTTTAACATTGAGGCACAGTTACCCTAATCTCAGCAACTGATTGAAACTATGCTGCTTCTCCTGCTTGCAGGGGAAATGAAAATAATGTGGCAAAAAGAGTTCCTACCCTGTATTTATCTGTACTACTTCTCATGTGCTATATTAACATCTTGATGTACATGTTGCTAACTTTATGATGAAGGCAACTGTTTTTACACACTTTAAATGTACTTGATTTGCCCACTGGAGATCTCCTGATTGAGTTCAAGTGAGTCAAGAAGGTGGTGCAGCCTGACCTGGTGTTGCAAGCAGAGGTGGTGATGCCTACTTGAACCATGCTCCTCTGATCAATCCAGTCCCAATGAAGCCTTACAAAAAATAGCAGCTTGTGCAATAACAAGGGAGCATTCCCCTTCCTTCTGCAAGTGTGTACTAATTGATTTTTTTTTTTTTTTTTTTTTTTTTTTTTAACCCTTCTTGCTGCTGGAAGGCTTGTAACTGTAGTGTGCTGGAATAAAAAAAAAAACAACTTTTGCCACTTCTGTTAATGTCCTAGCAAAGTGCTGGAACAGTCATAGTGGGCCTGCATGAGTCACTGCTCATAAACTGCCTTGTGAATCGATACAAGCTAAGCACTCTGCCATTATCCTTTTGTGTGGCTGCTGCAGCAAATTTCTTTGTACTTGTAACTGGCTTTACTTTACCTTTTGGTTTACTGAAGTTCTTACAAGATGCTTTTTGCATGTGCCCCAGCTGCTTTTAAGCTATAACCGTTTTAAAATACTGTGAAGGAAGATGCCTGATGAGCATACTTAGTTCATCAGATTTCCCTTTATTAATAAAGGGAACATCAGCCTCCTTTAAATTATATACTGGTGCAGCTGCCCCACATGCACCACTGCCTATGCTGCAATCATGTAGAAACTAATGAATGGTCATGGTGTGTGCACACAGCATTTTAACAGACGTTTTCCCATTGTATACAGCTGATCTTTTACATTTAATAAAGTTTCTTTCAATTATTGATTTGAATAGTGATGTAGCCTGTGTTAAAGAGAGATGCTTGGATTCCTAGAAATGCAAGTGCTGTGAATTCTTTCTCTGGGGGAGGAAGGGCACAAGCCACTTGGGTGATATAATAAAAACAGTCAAGTTCCAGAAATTGTTCTGTATCAGATCTGGTTGCCTGTTTCTCTGAGGGAGAAGAAAGCAAGTGTAAATTCTGTTCCCAAGGGGAATATCAATATGGAACTTGAAGCTTTGTTTTGCCATGTGAGTTCTGTGTTGGTATCTTTAATAAAAGTATCAGAACTAGCTTTAACTACTGTCAAATAAGACTTCAGAACTGCTCCTTGTGGAAGTGTGCCAGATGTTAGCAAGTTCACCCTGCCTTTCTTTCCTGGGTGGGTCTCTTTCCCCCAGTAGCCCCCACCTGTCTTAGTTTTGTACTCCCAGACAGATGCCTCAATAAAACAACAGCTACTTTAGGGATGTACACAACTTTGTTACAAAGAGTAGTAGCTTCAAAAAACGCAAACCATAACCTTTTCTCAACTAGGAACAACTTTGAGCTCTCCTTTTTTGCTAGTGTAATAATTAATGCTCTCCATCTCTTTGAGTTGAACGTACACTTCAGCTACTGGCTCTCTTTATAGTACAGGATAAGTCAATATACTTAAAAATGAAATAACATTGCCTTAGCTATTCTTCAAGTAGAGTAAGTTGGAAAGAGACATACAACATGAGTCTCCTGAGTAAGAAGGTGCCAATCTTCTCTTCTGTTACGTGTAGCATCTTATTTTAGTGATAACTCTTCTGTTTGTCCTAAAGAGTCTATCCAAATCACAGGAGTTGCCATGATTTTCTCTAGCTTCATATTTACACCTTTCCATTTGTATAAAGCAAACATGATTGTTCTTGCATCTACCTGAACCCAGTGGTGCCCAGTAAAACTTACCAGAGAGAAGTGAGTATCTAGGCTTGGCAGAAGCCCTGGCAATCCTATTTTGTGTTATTTCTTAGTACACATGGGTGAAACATGCATCTACCACCATGTTCTTCCCATCCCAATTCAGGCCTCCTTATAAAATTCTCAAAGCCAAATGTGTACTTTCTTGGGAACTTGATACAGAGCTGTGAAAGTCATCTTAATATTTTTACTGTTAAAATTCTGACATGCTGTTATAAAATATGTCCTTCATTTTGTTTTTACCAATGCTATATTCTCTAGAGTGGTAAATGTCTTCAGCCAGGAAAGACACCAGAACAAGTATACAACCCCCTAATGATGATTTATTTACTGAACAGCTAGAAGTGACAGCATCTGTTGGCTAACAGCAGTAACAAAAAGAAAGCAAGCTTTCTACCTTTCCTCTTCCAAAAATAAAGTCGTCTCGGTTTTATTTTTTAAATTGGATAGTTGAAAACCAAACAAGCAACAATAAGGCAAGTGGGGAACATCTTTGCTATTGCAATTCAACTAGATAAGGGCCTGAAGTAACATGCAGTAGTGCCCATCATGAGCTGAACCACCCAGTTTTAATTATCCTCTGCCACTAGCGCTTGAGGTAGGTATTTGCTCAACACTCTTTTGGTAATCCAGTAATAAGCTACTAAATAAAAATTAAAGGCAACATCTTCATACCTCAATCCAAGACCAAATATTGGAAATGGAGAAAAGACTAAGAGCATTCAACTTTGTCCTAACTACTCCTGTTAGTGTCTAAAGGTTTTACCAGAGATGGAAACTGAAGAGGTTTTGGGCTTGAGGGGAGATCTGTTCTATAGCAGTGGGGACCAGCCTTTTTGGCAAGTGCACCACCAATTAGTCCCATGCCCTCCTCAGATGACACTCCAGTCCCTTCCCTGATCTGATGCTTTGCCTTCAGCTTCCTATCCTGTGCTCTCTGTATCTGCCACTATACTGCCTGCCTTACAGATGATGCCCATCCTACAGGTTGGCTGCCCCATTCTACAGCATAATGGCTGCATTCTTATCAGCTGTTCAACAAGCTAACATTTTACAGGTGCACAAATAGCACAAGCAAGAACTAAATAAATATTCTGTTTATAAGATGCTGCTGATCCTGTTTCCAATCTGGCATAGTGAAGCTATTACATAAACTAGAGATGCCTAACTGCCAGGTTCCCGATCTGTGCCACTGCCCCAGCAGTGTTTTTCTGGCACTGCTGCTAGGAACTCCAGGCTCCTCTTCCCACCTCTAGCTTTTGCTGCCTTCTGGTCCTGGGGGGGACCCAAGGCCCCCACATAGGATTTTAGACATTAGGGCTGGAAGGGACCTCAGAAGATCATTGAGTCCAGCCCCCAAATGGGAAGCACTGTATGGCTCAGGAGAGGTCCACATGACACAGCATATAACCCATATATTGTATGGTGGGGGTAAGGAGAATGGAGCTGGCAGCCCCAGCCACTCAGAAGTTGGCAGACCTTAAAGCAGGGGTGGGCAAAATGTGGCCCACTAGGCCATTCTATCTGGCCCACGGGGGCCCCTAAAAAATTTAGAATATTAATATTTATCTACCCCTGGCTGCCTGTCATGTGGCCCTCGATGGCTTGCCAAAAACTCAGTAAGGGGCCTTCTGCCCAAAATAATTGCCTGCCCCTGCCTTAAATAACAGAAGTTAACCAGCTCTGTATGGTTTTTGCTAGAAACTTAGTGTTATGGGACAGCAAATTTTACTAAGGAATGTAAATGGAGCAGGTCTTTTGTTTGTTTGATCCAGTTACTTTTTAACAACAGTGATTAGTACAGATAATGCATTCATATTATTAAAAAAAGAGAGGAACAGGTGCCAGACTTACTTTTAAATACTGAATCTTTGTCAGTTTGCAATTGTGACCTTCCAAGTAGTTGCAAATAAAACAGCACAACAAATTGACTGTGAACTTTAAAATTACAAGAACAGCATAAGATTGTTTAAACTAATTTATATTGTATTAAATCAAAAATCCAGAGACTGGATAAATTATTTTTATCTGCTTCAATGCCATACAAATATTAATGGTTCTCTTGAGTAGAGTTTAATTCCTACAGAATATGAAGAGTTGAATAAAGGCCACAGAGGGAGTCCGGTATCCACTGCATTTTATTTACCATCTTCTAAATAGATGAGATTTCTCAAAAGGTTGCATTGTCTGCTGTTAAGAGAAACCAACCCACTCGTGGAATATGAGACAATACAGAGAAATAGTTCCTGACCAGCAGAGACAGTAGTAGATGAACATCGCTGACTCATGGAAGTTGATGGACACTTGCAGAGAGCTGGTGCCTACTTCAATATTAGGAAATACAATACAAAAGAAGGTGCAGAGAGTCTGAAGGCTGCTTTCACTATAAGTAGTGCTCTGACTCTTTCTGTGGATACATTTTGTTTGTCATTAACACACTTTCAGCGGCTACAATTATAACAGATAAGATATATCCAAAATGCAAGGTGACATAATGGCTCTTGTAGGCTCTCCCCTGAAGTATGAAATGTAATCTAAAATGTTCTTTGTAGGCCCTTCAAATTATTTATAGTCCATTAAGTGACTTAATCTATAACATTTACTTTGTTTTTCACCGTAGCAACTCAACTGGCCAATTGTAAGCCTTCCACAAAGTACAGGGATGAGAAGATGCAGAGGAAGAAAACTATCCATCTATTTAATAGTTGTATGGCATTTTTAAATGTCTACCAATTAAGCAGCTAAGGTCCCTTTACGACACCTACCAAGGCAGGCCTCAGGGTGCGCCCATGCAGCTTATAGCCAACCTTTGATACTAATGCAATGGTGCCAGGCTCCTTTCCTTCCACAGGAGCATGAAACAATGCTTCATGCTCATAGGGATCAAACTTGGCTCCAACAGGATTCAGTTTGAGCAGGCCATGCTTTTTGAACACCTTCTGAATCTGTGCTTCTGTCATGACAAGACCTTCATACAGGCTCTTCAGGTGAGGGTTTTCATCTCTGAGTTCCTCTTCTGGAACACTTTCAGTTGCTTTTCCCAAAATGTCAGCAACCTCTAGTAAGTCCTTGCAGAATCCCTGAATCCCTAGAAAGAAATGAAGAAAATCAAATTAATTCTTCTTAAAAAGGGACTCTGTCCACTTTAAAGGACACATCTTTTTGAAAGCCTGTTATACTTGTAACAGTTGTGGAGAAAGTTTTAGTTTGTGCAGCTTTTTCAGACCACCATGGGGGAGAGATTTGTAACAAGAAAGTAGCTATAACAAAAGTGTAACATCAACCTGATGGTGGCCAAACTTATTTATGCTCTTAATGCACCTGTCCAACCTCTTTTGGTCGTAGTCCAAACATCATGTTAGCTTGTTCGAGAAGACATAATCCTTCCTGCAAATAAGGTAAAACTCCTTCAAGTTTGAGGATTTTGTCACCCACTTCCTGTAATCTCTTGATACCATGCCACACCACTAATTACTGTTTTCTTTCCCTCAAGCTGTTGTTAGAATTTACGTGAACCTTAGATGCTATTGCAATAAGAAGAGTCCTAGTCTAGGAGCAGAGATATACTGGGTTGAGAGCCATACTAGATACATGGTTGTGAAAAGTGAATTTCTAATCAAAGTGCTCAGTGTTCATTAGCATTTTACAAGTATCTTGAATGCTCTTGAACTTAGGCTTGCTTTTTCACAGTCTAAACAAGTGACTCTATTTTCAGACTAACTGTAAAGTTAATGATTTAAGATGTGGCAACATTGTCTCTCTCATTCTCTCAGCCCTAACCTAGGAAACAAAATGAAATTATTATGCACTGACACCATACGGTGCTCTCTTTTGCTACTGCAGTATTTACAAACAATACCACTTCTGTTTTGCACACTGTTTTCAGAAGTTAAGTACTACTAATATAGTTTGACCAGAATGGTCACACGAACTACCAGACATCTAAATAAGTGGCCTAATTCTTAAAAATAAAGTGCCTCTAGCACTCCTCAATGTCTACGATAGCCTTATGCAACCAGCACCCTGAAAAAAATTCAGCATTGACTGGATTGTCCAGAATTGACATTAGAGCACAGTATGGTGTTAGCACATAATTATTTCATTTTTCCCCTAGTTTAGGGTTAAAACAATGAAAGAGCCAGTGTTGTCGCATTTTAAAACCTCAGGCATACATAGTCAGGGGAAAAAAATTAATCAGGCCCTCAAATTTAAAGTGTTTCAAATTTTTTTTAAAAATCTTAAAATTCGGGAGGAAAGCATGTTTCAGATACTTGTGGTTTCCTGCTCTTTTCAGTCAAGTGTGAGGTGACATGGAGGAGAGGGGCAAAGTTCAGGGTGCCAGCTACACCAAGACTTTCCCACTTCCATACAGATAACCCATTATAAATCCAGCAAGTACAGATACAATTTGGAAGATATTTTACATATGTGCAGGTGTCTGGTAAGCATTATGCAGTCTTGTGTGGCTGGAAGTCTTTGGAAAACCTCAGACAGAAAGCAGTTTCTAATGTTTCATGAAATTCCTCACGTGCATAAAAATGCAATGTCTTTAACACAGCTGAATACAAATCTCACACCCATTCACAGTCCTCCAACACGGAAGGCACAATTGGTCCAAGATGGACTAATCCTTAAGGGCACTCTGCACATAAGCTTTGGCTTTCATATTAGCATCACTGCGTTTTCACAATACAGGAGCACAACTAGGAAGTCTCCACCTACCATACAACTTGGCCTCTTCTACCAGTTTCTGGCTTCTTTGCCTTAAGTTTTCAGTGTCTGCCAGAGCTCTCTTATACTTATCCTGAGGAAGAAATAAAACACATTGCAGAAGGGATTCTCATACAGTCTCCGTGTTGCTTGCCATTAATTTAATGGGCTCCCATTCTAGTAATTTTAATCCCCAACAGCAATTTAACAAAGTAATGCTTACTGACAATAGGTTTCAGAGTCAGATTCAAAACCAATTTATCATCAAATGAGGCTATGAAGGCTAATCCTCACAAGGATTAGGCAAGTATTGGCCTCGTTAAGAGGTGAAAAACAGGGAGGGAGGATTAAGCAATTTACTTAAGTGTCCAGAGTGAGAAGGTGATTCAAGACTTTCCAGGCAAGAATTCATTTGAGGGTTTGTGTGCTCTCTAGGGATGTAAAGCATGGGAAAGTCAAATGTGCCATCTCCCCTAATCCCCTTGTGCTTCTAGTGGGACTTTGTATATCAAACTGGTACTCCCTGCACTGTCTTTTTGCATCACTAGCAAATCAAAATAGTAAAAGGCCAAGAATTCCATTCATCCAAGACACAGGTAAAGATAATGGAAAATAAGACAAAGGATTGCATTCCCAGGCCTCAGGTTTCTGGAAAAAAAAAAAAAATGCTCCACCACATTTTATTGAGATACGTGTAGTGGATTTATCCTCAAGATAAACAGTGAAGAGTTTTATCCCATTTTTATAGTTAGGAAACTGTGGCAGAGAAAAAAAAGTGACTTCTCCATGGTCACCTAAGACCCAGATTTTTACCCTAAGAGCCAGCTTTTCTTTTTACCCACCAGGCCATCCCTCTTCTTCACACCCTTCAGTACCCTCCAGTTTTACTGAGGTTCTGTAAATTGCTGGGTTTAACTCCAGAGTTTAATCTCCTTAAACCTATTAGCAGTTTGTTCCCAGCAAGATAACCAAGTTCTGCAAATGGACTAAAGATCAGATCCGATAAAGTACTTAGGTGGTGCAGCCCCAACCCTTCAGACACGCAAATGCCTGGCTCCTGGAGCAGAATTTAGAAGCCTGCCTTAGGCAATGAAACTCCTTCTGAACTACACTTTCAAAATAGCCAATGCACTGAGCAGGGAGATGGCTTATATAGCCAGTAGAGTATACAATGTCAGGGACAGGCTTGCACACTATTTCACCCACCTCTGGAGCTTTGGTACCTTACTCAATATTGGGAACATGCCTCTGTCCACAACTACAGGCCTTTCTTCTCCAAAGTTATCTTAACCCTAAGAGCCAGGGGCAACAGCCTCTTTCATTCAAAGGAGTGAGTAGAGATCACTTTTAAATACGGCTACCAGAAGAGGAGCAGACAGAGTATACAACAGCTAAACAGAGTACGGTACAGTCACATCATACGCGTATTTAACTTACACAAATTCAGTTATACGCACTCAGCTGCTGGGGCTGGCCGCCGGGTGCCGTCCGGGGCATGGCACGTAGTGCGGCGCCGCGTGGTACTTACTGCCTGCACGCGCTGGCATGGCTGGAGGGCTCACGCTCAGCTGACTGTCCTGGTGGGACAAGGCAGCAGAGGACGAGGGGCAAGGAGTACGCGCGGAAGGTGCAGCTGTTGCACTGCACACACGGGTTGCTTGTTGCCGAAGCCCAGCGATTTCAACTATACGCGCTGACTTCGGAACGTAACCCCCGCATAAGATGCGACTGTGCTGTAGTCACCCAGGAAGCAGGATATCTTGGTTCAGTTTCCTCCTCAGCCCAATAGGTACAAGCCCATATCTCCCACATCATGAGAGTAGCCTAACTACTCTAAACCCCCTCCTGCTCAATCTGAACCGTTCCGTGACAAAGAACGCAACATGTTTTGGGCCACAGAAGAAGCATGACTCCAGTGTAGTGGTGTAGGGCACTCACCAGAGGGTCTGGAGTTGTGGGTTTCAAACCAAGTTTCCCATTTCCCAGAGAAATGCTGTCATTAGTGGGCTGTTATAGAAAAGCTGGGCACCCTTCCTCCATGGCCTTTCAAAGAAGGCTGCAGCTGCTACTTTATTTTGTAGGAAGCCCAATTCTGTCAGTGTTAGGGCATTATTAGAACATAGTACTGTTGAGTCACACCTTTCAGGGAGCTTAGCTGGGGGGCAGAACTAGTGACTGCATCTCAGTCAAGCTCCAGCTGACATACATGCCCAGTTCCTGAGCCTGGGAGAGCATGCACAGAGCAAAAAACATTAGGTGTCTCTGGGATTCAGGGAGCATGAAGCATGGGTGTGTTTTGGATCATAATTTGATATTTAGGTGCTTTAATTCCCCCCAGATCTGTTTGGACCTAGCCCAAAACTGAAAGGCATAACGCCAATAATAAATCCAGCCTGCAATTCATTAATCAGACAATTATTATAAGTTTACCAAGCTTCTGCACAGCCCACATGGTTCTTAAACATTACTTTTTACAAGTGTTCCCTCAGGCACCACCAAGGGTTACTAGGAATAACGCCCACAAATTGTTAGGAGAGACGGTTCAGGCTGGACGTCAGGAGACATTACTTTACAGTTAGGGCTGCCAGATTCCAGAATGGACTCCCAAGGGAGGTGGTGCTCTCTCCTACCTTGTGGGTCTTTAAGAGGAGGCTGGACAGATATTTGGCTAGGTTGTTATGACCCAGTTCCTGCCCAGGGCAGGGGGTTGGACCTGATGATCTGTTTAGGTCCCTTCTGACCCTAAGCACTACGTAACTATGAAATGCATGCACACCAAAAGCCCCTTACTGTCATGTCTTTTAGTTGCTCTTCCAATTTGACTTTATCTTCTACTAGTGTCTTCTCAGCAGGGGTGGGTTCAGTCTTCTGTGCATTTTGGTTCTGACTCTGGTCCTCTTCTAAGTTTTGGCTAGTACTTTTCTGTTGTGTGGCTGTACAAAGGAACCGTGAAGTCCTAAAATAAACATTCAAAATTATATTAATCTTGGAAGACAGGGTTGTGGTTACTGGACATAACGAACCCTTGATTTGCTATTTGCCAATAAGAGAAACCCCCACTCTAAAGCAATAACGAATTATACATGTATCCGAGGCCCTGCTCTGCCTGCAGCCTTACGCACATGCCTTATTTACAAGTAGTACCACATTTCAAACATTGGCATGACTAAGCCTTAAGCAGTAGTTTGTAGCTGAAGGCATCTCTGCATACATTGTAAAACAGGGTGCTGGCCACAGCAGTCCCTGCAGTCTTCCAGCCCCCAAAGCAGAAGACGCGTACAAGTCAGTCTAGTCCCTTTGTCCTCCAGTTCCTCCAAACAATCCTCATCTGGGAAGCACGAGCGAATCTTGCAATTGTGTGTCCCAGCCATGAAGTTGCCAGCACACTGGACCCCAGCTGACTTCCTGCTCCTCGGGCAGGGGGCTGGACCTGATGATCTCACGAGGTCCCTTCCAGCCCTAATGTCTATGAAATCTATGAAACTTTTGGAAGAAAAACAAGCAGCAGTTCATTCCCAGCCAGAAATCCTCATGTATTTTTGTTTGATTTTTATTTTTGATTAAAAAAAAAAAACCTATTTCCAAACGTGTTAAAATTGAGTAAGAAAGACCTGGACCAAAACCCTTGAGACGTCAGCTTCATTGTTTCTAGCAGGCAACCTGTAAACTGCACAGCTGCCACCGCAGCCTCGAAATTCCTGTGATCAGACCTGAAAATGCCTGAAGTGGATTGGGGGAAATCCCACGTGGCCTGAAGGATAAACCAGGCCCGCCTTCCTGCGAGACTAGATTAGGAAACCGACCCGTGACAACGCCAATGACGCAACAGTCTGCAACACCTCAGGCTCTACTTTCCTCCTGGACATTTGGAGTAACTGCCGGCCGGTGGCAGGGGCCGGACACGAGCAGCAATGGACTCGCCTCGAAACCCTCGTGACGAGACCCGGCCCCGCCGAGCGCCCCGACAGCAGGCCCCTGGATTCAGTGACCCCGAGATGGAGGCAGTCTCGGAGGCCTAAAGTGGCCAGATCACCTTCCCCGCCCCCGGCCGGGCCCAGCCGCGCCGGAG